AATTAGTAAGTTTCATAAATAAACATCACTGTACCTTCTCAAACTCATGAGTGGCTGAAATTTACCTCCTCATCATGCATAATACGCAGTGGATGAGGGTCGAACAGAACCTCCTTTGCACTAGATTCCCTTTCCTGGAATGTGGTGAGATGGGGCTCTGAATGTCCTAACCATGTCCTGGTTCTCTACTGGAGACACAAATTTCAAACACTAATACAGGTTGTCTTCCTTGGAGGTGTCCACTTCGAAACTAGATCACAAACTCCCAGGGTGGTGGAGGAGATTTCTCATTAGCTGTTTTTTTGTTTTAGAAACGTCTTACTTTTACTGTGGCTTTTGGACTCGTCTAGAAGCCCTGTCAATTCTGAGGCTTACACTGGAGAAAAGATTAAAACAACTTATCCTGATTACCAAGAGAGTCAGATTTCCATGTATTACGCAATAGTCTTATCTGAAATGCAAATAGAAAGAAGGTTGTGTTTTCATTCCCACGCAACTCTCCAAATCATCCCTATTTATGCAGCACTGTCCATGCTGGTCTACTATTCACCGGTGATCATGAACCTGTGCCACACACTCTCTCCCTGAGCAAAGCCCCGTAGGAGGATCAGTCAGTTTCTCAGCGTTTAGAGGGAGGCTGGAGGGGGCGGGGTGTCCCAAGGGGTGCAGGCAGAACAGCTCTTCTTGCCTTACTTGCTTGCAGCCCACACCCACAGGGTGGTCTCTCGTGCACGCTCCCTGGCCTCAGAAGGAATCTTTCCCCTGGACATTTCCATTTCCACCCAACTCCCCCTTGTTCTGTTTTCTTGCCACTGCCACCCAATTCCTAAATCCTGTCTCCCTTTCACTCCTATAAGGTTAAATTCAGGGCAACCTTCTGCTCCCATGCTCAAGTCCTTGCCCCACCTGCCCAAATCTTGGAAATATTTAGCCTGTGGGTGGGACATAGCCATCACTGTTTGTTTTCTTTTTTATTGCACTGCCAGGCAGAGGGAGGTGCCATTCTGGGACCTGAAGGAGGGGCCAGAGTGGTGTTCTAAATTCCAGGATGCTGATTTCTCCTTTCCTTCCCTCCCTTCCTTCCTTCCTTCCTTCCTTCCTTCCTTCCTTCCTTCTTTCCTTCCTTCCCTCCTTCTTTTCTTTCTCTCTTCCTTTATCTCTCTCCTTCTTTCTTTCTTTCTTTTTTTTTGGAGATATGGTTTCACTCTGTTCTGTCACCTGGGCTAGAGTGCTATGGCATCAGCCTAGCTCACTGCAACCTCAAACTCCTGGGCTCAAGCAATCCTTCTACCTTATCCTCCTGAATAGCTGGGACTACAGGCATAAACCACCACACCTGGCTATCTCTCAATCTTTTTTTTTTCTGGTCTACCCAATATATCTTAAAACAAAACAACAAAATCAGATATTCCTCAATTTCCTGCCAATTCAGCTTTTAAATCTCTTGCTAAAATGAAACCAGACAGTGCACTTCTCTTTCCTTACTTTAAATTCCAATTCAAATTCCTCTTGTTATGTCTGTGTATGTGGGTACAGGCATGTGTATCTTTTAAGCAGAAGTATTTATCACTGTCACATGCATGGCACTATTTTAAGTGTTTTTACACGTGCATTAATTTTTCACAACTCCACACATTTACTGGTACCGTTGTCCTCATAGCCCCAATTATAAAACTAACAAGCAACAAACTAGGATTCGAATGCTAATGGCATGTTCTTAATGATGATCCTCTACTTCTTCTCTCCAATGTCTTCAAACAGGACCACGACCTAATCTGCAGGTTCCAGCACAAAGTGAAAGTGCAAGGATTCTTGTTCAAAAATGATTAAGAACTTCAAGGTAGCAATAGCAGGGCATGAAACTGAGCACAGAGCCTTTCTGAGTGTGGGGCCCTGGACACAGGTGGCACATCAAGAAGCCTGTCCTGTGCGTGTGTGTGTGTGTGTGTGTGTGTGTCTGTGTGTGTCTGTGTGTGTTTGGCTATAGTGGGAGTCAAGGGATTATTATACCTAAAACAGGATGACTTTTATTAAGCAGGTTCAGAATCTGCAGTATGACTTATTCATTCATCTAGGCAGGGGCAGGTGGAACGGTCCTGATGAGCAGGTGTGTAGTCCGGCCAGCAGAACACAGTGCCCAAAGGTACTGGGATCAAAGCTCAGATAAGCAGCAACTGATATGCAAGACAAAGTCAAGGTTACTTGACAGGGAAGAAGAACACAGCAATGGCCTATCTAAGGAGAAGTGACATATGGGAATCTGCAGCCCTGGCCCTGTTTCATGGGAGTCCATGGAGGTTAAATGGGTATGACTACTGCAGAACTCTCATCCCTTAAAGGTATCTGTCAGGATAGGCTCAATTAGGCTGCAAAAACAAATCACCCCCACAAACTCAGCAGCTTTGTACAAGAAAGCTTATTTCTTGCTCTCTTTACCTCTCCACCATGAATCTGCACAGGGCCCACGGCAGGAGGTGGATAATGCTAAAATGTCTAAACTCTTCAGTATAATGTAGAAGTGGTGATAATTATCCAGTGATAGTTATCTTGCCTTGGTTGCTATAGTTTATTAGATTAAAGAAGTCTTCTTTATTCCCAGTTTTCTGAAAGTGTTTACCACAAATAAATATTAAATAGTACATGTTTTTCTGGATCTACTAAGGTAATCGCATTATTTTCTCCTTTAATATTTAATTATGATCAATTACATCTTTTGCCAACATCGATATAATCTTGTACATTTGAATCAAATTTAGCTCAGTGATCATGCATTATCTTTTGTTATATATTTCTAGATTCAATTTGCTAATATTTTATATTTGCTAATATTTTTTTTTTAATTATTTTTTTTATTTGGCATATTATGGGGGTACAGATTTTAAGGTTTCAATAAATGCCCATTTCCCCCCCCCCAAAAGTCTGAGTCTCCATCATGACCATCCCCCAGATGGTGCACATCTCACTCAACATGTGTGTATATACCCGCCCCCCTCCCCCCTCCCACCTGCCCAATACCCTATTACTGTAGCACCTATGTGTCCACTTAGGTGCTACTCAGTTAATACCAGTTTGCTGGAGAATATATCTGGTGCTTGTTTTTCCATTCTTGGGATACTTCACTTAGTAGTATGGGTTCCAGCTCTAACCAGGAAAATATAAGGTGTGCTATATCACCATTGTTTCTTAGAGCTGAATAGTACTCCATGGTGTACATATACCACATTTTATTAATCCATTCTTGGATTGATGGGCACTTGGGCTGTTTCCACAGCCTTGCAATTATGAATTGTGCTGCTATAAACATTCGAGTGCAGGTGTCTTTTTTGTAGAGTGTCACTGGATCATTTGGGTAGATGCCCAGCAATGGGATTGCTGGATCAAATGGTAGATTCACTTGTATCGCTATTTTAATACAACTTAAGATGTTGTATCTTAGTTCGTGAGTAAGATTAGTTTGTAATTTTTATTTCTAGTTATGCCCTCAGGATGTTTTGGTCTCAAGATTATGGAAGAAAACATAAATTGAACTTGGGAGTATTCTTTCTATTTTGTTCTCGAAAATAACTTATATAAGATTGAAATAGTCCCCATTTTTAATTCTAATATTGTTTATGTCAGTCTTCTGTATTTTTGTTTGAAAGTCTTGCCAGTAGTTTATCATATTTATGTGTCTATAAGAAATGATTTGGGGCCTTGTGATCTTCTGGTTTTTTACCTTCATTTTCTAGTATCTGAATTTCTGCTCATAACCTTAATTGCTTTCTTCTATTAATAAAAAATTGCTTTCTTCTATTAATAAACCTTTGGTTTAGGTTTTTCTGCTTGTTTGCTTTGTTTTTATCTTGCTTTTGTTTTTGCCTTTTTTTTCCTTGCTATTGGTGCTTAGCTTATAATTTTCAACCATTCTTTTTTTCAAATATAAGCATTTAAGTTTATAAATTCTATGTAAGTACAGATTTTACTATACCCCAAGGTTTCTTGTGAAGTATTATCTAGTTTTAAACATTTTCTAATTTTCATATGCTTTCTCTTTGAGCCATAAATTATTTAGAAGTGATCTTTTTCCATTTTAATTTCCAAATGCATATTTTTCTTACTTTTTAATTACTGATGTCAATTACTAGAGAATGTTATAGAGATACTGTAATTGATATAAAGTCAACTATTTAAAACTTGTTGACTCTTGCTTTATGATTTAGCATGTGGTCAAATTTCATAAGATTTGTATACTTGTTGTTCTATCAGTGTTACCGTCCTGATTTGTGACCCTTGCATTGTATGATGCTAACATTTAGGGAATATAAGGGGTTCCCTTGTACTTTTTTTCCCTGTATTTTTTAAAAGTCTGAAATTATTTCAAAATGAAAAGTCAAAAAGTCTTAAAAACATGCAATGCTGTTAACTCAAAGGTGAAGAGTTTCCTTCTTTCTCCCATATCTATAATCCTGTTGTTGTCTTTTCATCATATCATATAATCGGAAATGATGAGGATTAATAATCAGTGAAATTCTCCTTTGCACCTTCTAATCACATGAGAGTGAGGGGTCAGGTCCTAGATATGATAAGAGATTGGTGACAACAAGATTGTGCTCCGTGATCATTACCACACACTTGTCCTAATGGAATTTTACCACCTTATAATCAGTTTTTAAGGAGAAGAACATTTGGCCTGCTATTAGCTTTTCTCATTGATATATATACACACACACACTTAATATTGTACCAAAAACTTCATAAATTATATTCTACTACTATAAATAGAATTTTAAAGGTAATAATATAACCAATGCCTTCTAAATATTATAGTTTAAAATTAGATACATAGATACAGATGTGAACAGATCCTTTTCCAAATGTGGAAAATATCCACATTTCCAAATATTTTATTGTAATACCCTAACACATATTAATTTATGTTTTATCTGATTTTTAGAATGACATTAAATTATATACAGAGAAATCAAAAGGCAGGTGGGTGTTCATAAACAAATAGATGACAATGAAGCAAAAGGCACTGAATTCTTTTATTTGGCAATCCAAGTTAGCAGCAACAATAGAAAATCACTAACCACCTATCCTAGTATCAAAACTTTAACTCCACCTACCACATCTCTTTTTAAATTATAATGTAAAACAAAATAAATTGCAAAATATATTTTATTTTGAACCAATTAGTAAAAAACCAATTATAACCAAAAACCAATTATAGAAACCAGATATATTTAAACAAAGTTTTATTTTAGACATAAATTTTAAATCATTTTTGTTTCGAAAAGTATATCTTAGAAATATTTTAATGTACACTGCAGTCTATTCTTCCATCTGCTATGTAACGAAGTAAACTGTTGAGTGATGTAAACTGCTTAATGTTTAAACTAATGACATAAGAAGACAAGCGAAACAAAGGAAACTGATATTACAAAAGGTAAGTATTATGGCGTTCTCAAGTATGATTCATTATAAAGTGAAAACTAGGATGATGTCTTCTGGAATATCATAATCTTCTTCATAAGTAGCGTATGACATATGACATACTTCAGGATGCCAAGAATTTTAATTAAATCTCAATTTCTATAAAGCTAATAACAGGAATATTTTTTAAAGGCCCAGATATGTGAACTATAATAGCAGCAGTTTGAAACAGAAGAACAGGAAATAAACGGAAATTATATTACATTATCATAAATGTATTCATTAACTTGTTTTGGAGATTGTGTTTTTATATAAGAACAATTACAGTTATTTTTTCAACTAATGCTTTAAATGCATAAATTGGAATTACCGTACATTAAATAATGTTTCTGAATTGAAATTAACTATAAAAAATACACATAAGCATAGACAAATGAGGAAAATATTTCCCTCCTATGACAAATATCTGGGTAATATATAATATTAAAGATAAAAATCTCAAATTTGAAATAACCAAAAATAGTTACATGTATCCTATTTTCAGTCCAATTGTTTAATATTTTATTTTTTAATTATTTTATGTACTTAATGGAAGATTTCTAGAATTTTTATTTTTTACTTTCAGTAATGTTAACTGAAAAGGAAAAGGATGTATTTAACGTAAAAATAGAAAATGGATCTGGAGATTTCCAATAAATGTCTTAACGTCCTACAGATGTGGCACTTATTTCATGAAAGTAAATGACGGGATACTATTTTTGAAGCAATCTATACTGCTTCTTTCAAGACAAGAAGCTCTCAGTAAATAGTTCAAATGGAATTATAGTGAAAAGTCTTTCTAATTCTATCTTTCCTCAAATGGGCTCTATTTCTTGTAATTCACATGACACTCTTTGGCCGTGGTGGTTGTCTGTTAAATTTCCTGTTTTGGACTAGTTTCAGCAAACCAAAACAAATAGCTCACAGAAAAGGCTATGGTAACTACTTTTTTTTTTCTTTTTGGTATTTCCAGTTAAGTGCTTTCTGCTTAGAGGTACAGAGAAAGGGAGGAAAATAGCTAAAAACATGGTGTTAAGTAGGTCACAGCAGTTTCAATGCACCAAAAAATGTGCCATCTCCATCTCGAGATATTTGTGCATTTTCCCGTGGTATTGCAAGTTGAAGTTCATCTCCTTCTTCCAGCTTTGCAATGCCTGGGAAAGAATGATTTACAAGAACTTTAAGTGGTTGTACAATGGAAAAGGGGAAAAAAAAGAACCTTAAATAAAACTATTTTGTTTTGGAAAAAAGGTTGACATAAGCATTCACACTTTAAAATACACCAGTGGACTTCTAACCCAGTAACAATTCTAGTATCCTAAAAAAAAGAAAAAAAAAAAAAAGAAGAACTAAGCAGGAGTGATGGCTGATCTAAGTGTATTTATTGCCTACTGCTTATAAAATGGATACTCCAAAAAACCCCCAAATATCTAACTTGAAAAAAGTTAGCTAAGTCATAGCACATCCCTGATGGAACATTAGATAGTTAAATATATGTTTCACTTAATTTTATTGACAAAGGAAAGTTTTTACAATAATGTTAAATAAAAATGTGAAAAATTACACGCACACATATATATATACTGGATAGTCCTAATTATATTTTTAATGTGCATATAAAAAATATAAATATTAAAAAGCAAAACACCATGTATTTACATAGCACCTTCGTTGCCATAGTTTTTCTCTAAAGTCCAGACTATAGGTTTAGTCAACATTTATGTTATGTTTACATTATTGCCTATATTTGATGTCCTTAGATGACCATGATTGTCTTTATAATCAAAAGCAACAATGTAATTATCTCTTTAAAAATGACCAATAAATCTGTGTGTGCCTGATTTACAATGATGAATACATCTGTGAATCAGGAATACAAAGTACAGTTCAGGGACTACACCAAGCACATCAGGTCACTCTTGACCGCACTTCCAAAGAAAAATATTAAGAAGAAAAAAGAGGAGGAGTAAGGGAAGGAGAAGAAATAAGGAAACTAACAAACAAAATAACTCATATCTGAATTGTCAATACGCTTTGTCAAAGGCTAGCAATTTAAAAAGTAATTGTATTGTTTCATTAACGTACAGGGAAAATTTACTTACATAGACACATCTGTGTTAATGTCTGTTCTATCCTGAAGCCCAAAACACCCGGATTTACTCAAGCAGCAGCCAGTAAGAGATTATTTATTGAACACTTACTATGTGCCAGACACCCTTCTAGACAAACATGGAGCAGTGATCAAGGATGACAAAAGTTCCCACCCTCAGTAGTCTTGTTTTGTTGTACTGGGCCAGGGCAGACAACAAACAAGAGAAGTATTTTTAGGATTGGTAAGAGTAATGTGTATGCTTCCTAGAATTGGCAAAGCATTTGGAACCACGTTAAGCAGTTAAAGAAAAAAAAAAAGATGGATATTTATTTGTTTAATAGATTTGTCATTATCATAGAGAATAAAAATGACCTAATATTTTGACAAAAGCAATAGATCACAGAGCATTAAGTAATATTAACTCCAAAAGTTAAGTAAGTGTGAACAACTAAAGATTTTATTTAAAATTTCGACACTAAGTTATTGGCTATTTCAACTCTTCTGGATTACAGCAATCAGCTGTAACTTTTTCTACAATAAACATACTTTGTTAAAAAAATGAATAAGATTCAGCTTTGTGTATAAAAGTGATTCATTTATATTATGTTGGGCTTCTTAAGTTGGCCACTTAAATTTTTTTTCAGGTTATTATAGAAACACTTTCTATGCTTATACACTAACAGAGTTTTCAATGGTTCTAAAAAAATTTGCCCTCAAGCACATTAAAATTGCAAACCTGAAACTTCCTATAGAACAGCTATCATATACAACACTAAGCTATTAATACTGAAAAATGTCTTTAAAGTCACGTTAATTATGCTTTATAAAGTAAGGTGGAGTACTCTAATAAGAGGTAAATTCAAGAGCAGATGATTAGCGACTTTTTACAAAGACTTCATTGTAAAATTCTAAGAACTAATGAATGTAAATAAATAACAGATTGGAGTAGAATTGCCATTTATAAATATTTTGCAACACCAGATTACTAGTCAGCACTGGGTGCAGGGAAATGTTTCTTTATGAAAATTAGGGAATTCCACCTTTAGAAACTTCCTCATCGCCCCATTAAAGCTGCCTGCGGCTGCAGACCCAGAGTGACATCATCTCTGCGATTATGAACTATTTCCTTTAGTTTCTAACTGATTTATTGGGCATTTGTCTAAACATTTTTGAACTATAGTATTTCAAAATGCACAGCCAGTCTCCAGTCCTGTGCTTCACACTGTCATTCATGGTAACTGTCTGAAACTGAAGACATTCCTCAGGGTTCCAAATAGATCTTACAGAATCAGCAGAAAAATATGTGTGTTTAAAGTGAATATGTTAAAAAAAAAAAAAAAAACTAGCCTTGACTAACTTGAAATCACCCCCTAAAAATAAAATGAAGGAAACATTGGCAATTCAGCTGAAACAGGCCCCAAAACAAAACCTGCCCTGCTCTTTCAAAAGTAGGGTTTCCCCTACCTTCTCACCTCTCAAAGTCACCTGTGTCCCTTTATGCCAGATGTCACCTGTACTAAAGTGAGACAGAAGCCATTGTGCAACTCGCCCTCTCCTTCAAACCTGGCCAAGGGCATTTCTTCCACAGCATGTAAAGAAGTGTTTTGCTGGCTTGCGCTGTGGAACAAAACAGGCTGGTGTAAACCAAGTTCTGAACCTTCGTAGCTGTGCAGCCTGAAACCAATCATGTTACCTCTCTGTGTTTCAGATTCCAACTACCTTAAAATGAAAGAGTAAATGAGCAAACATATATAAAATGCAGAAAAGAGTACCTGCCAAATGGTAATCACTTTGTGGTTGTTAGAATTTTTTATTAAAGGTGTCAAAGAAAATACATCGGAATTGTTCTCAATGGAGAATGCTGTGAAGTTACTGCCTTTTCTAAATCTATCTAAAAATGGTAACACTATTAATATTGACTCCCTCTGTCTCAATTAAAACAGACTAGCTTATCATTCAAGATAAAAATACCCAGTGTATTGAGAAATCTCTGTCTATTTAGACTTTAGGGCACTGTCCTTTCTTTTTTGCATTGTGCTGCTCAGATTTTTTTTTTTATCAAACTGTCTTCATTCCACAATAAGCAGGTCTGAGAACTATTATTTACCAGCTGAGTAACAGGAATTATTGGGTAGTGTTTCAGGCATGTTTTGAATACATCGGAATAAAGTCACCAGACTCAATTCATCCCCAAAGACATGAACTTTTTTCCTCTGTATTAGGTGTCCCATGGCAAAGGTGCTATCGGTGTATAAAACCTGAGAAACAAACCAAAAAACTTCATCAGACATGAGCATAAAATGGGAGGCTTTGCACAGGGAAAGCAGAATTGGGGTTTGAACCTACCTGACCATATATAAAAAAGTAACCCGTTTCTTTGACCAATATTTTATTCTCTTTTTCTTCTAGGGCTCTTCCTCTTTTAAAGCTGAGAAGCCATGGAACAAATGTGTAAGATCCTGCAATGAAGAGAATGATTTACAAGAAAAGAAACAAGAAACCGAAAAAAGCAATTTTCACATTCACTTAGCTGTTAAAATATATCCGAAACCTAGCAGAGAGTATAAATAAAATGATGTAAAATAAGTAACTAGAAGATTAGGGAAATGGTAATATAAGGATAGAATAATAAAACAAAGCTGTGATAGTCTAAAATCAGTAAAAATCCCTGTATAATTGGTAATGGTGGGCCACACGTGTCTCCAAATTTCACGCTCATCATAACAAAAAAGAAAGCAAAGTCAGTAATAAAATTCAGCATCCAAAAGGGACAATATGCCAGACGCTCAAGAAGAGAACAACTTTTCTTAGAATTGATATTGAGCAAAATTTTCTCCCGTGGATTTTCATAAGGGAGCACAATAGGATATGGTAACTGACAAAGTTTCCACGTTCCGTAAGTACAATTGCCTAGTGTATGTGCCTACTTCATATAGTGTTTCCAAAGCAAACCGATTATATTTGAACTTTTTCCAAATAAAATTCTTTTTTAATTTTATTTTTTCAACTTGACAGATAAAATCGTATATATTTATTATGTACAGTATGATGTTTTGGAATGTATGTACATCATGGAAGAGATAAATTAAGCTAATTATCACATAAACTTCAGATAGTTGTCATTCTGTGGTGAAGATACTTAATAGCTACTTTCTTAACATTTTTCAAGAATACAATACATTGTTATTTACTGTGGTCACCATATTGTATAAGAGATCTCTCAAACTTATTCCTTCTATCTAACTGAAATTTTGTCACCTTTGACCAACATTTCCCCAACCCCCTCCACCCTACTACCACCCTAGACCCTAGTAACCACCATTTTACTTCTATAAATTCAACTTTTTAAAAAAGATTCCATATATGAGTGAGATCACGCAATATTTGTCTTTCTGTTCCTGGCTTACTTCACTTAACAGAATGTCCTCCAAGTTCATCCATGTTGTTGTAAATTACAGGACTTCTTTTTTATGGCTGAATAGTATTCTACTGTGTGTGTGTGTGTGTGTGTGTGTGTGTGTGTGTGTGTGTGTGTGTGTACCACATTTTCCTTATCCATTCATCTGTCGATTGACTTTTAGGCTTATTCAATATCTCGGCTATTGTGAACAGTGCTGCAATAAGTACTGGAGGACACATATCTCACCTAGGGCCAGATCACCCAGAAAGCACCTGATCTCAGCTGATCTCAGAAGTTAAGCAGGGTTGGCCCTGGTTAGAACTTGAGCAGGAGATGTCTCTTTGACATACTGGCTTCATTTCCTTCGTATGTATACCTAATAGTGGGATTATTGGATCCTATTGTATTTCATTTTTAATTTTTTCCCTTTTTTATTTTACTAGATATAGGGGTACAAGTTGCGTTCCATTATATGCACATATTTTATAGTGGTGAAGTCTGAGCTTTTAGTGTACCCATCACCCGAACAGTGCACATTGTACCCCATAGGTAATGTTTTCATCCCTTACCCCCTCTCACTTTAATTTTTTTAGGAATTTCCATGCTATTTTCCATAAGGGCTATACTAATTTCAATTCCTACTTCAAATAAGGTTCTTGAGAGAAGAATAAAAACAAGAACCATGTATTTCTGAGTATTTCTAAGGATTTAAGAGCCTTAAGTGATAAAACAAAGCAAAGCACTGTAAATTCAAGTTACAGTGAGCAGTTCCTTAGGCAGCCCTTTAAGTTCACAACACAGCAGGTGCAGGAAAGATGTCATGGGGAGGGGATGACGGAGGATTGAGTGATGCATAAAGGAGTCTCAGGGTCTCCTCAGCACCCTGTGTCTCCTGCTCAGTCCCAGGAGCCCGCTCCTTCACTGTCGCTCACAGAGAGTGAATGCACCCCTGATGCGGGGCAGTCTGGTCACCCCAGTCTGCTTTTCCCAAAGAAGGGCTCTAGGGAACATTTTACTTAAATGAAAACCCAAGCGCCATACTGGCTAATAATAACCAATGAACAAAATATCATCTAATTACAAATTACAGAGGCAAAATCAGCATCACTTACTTTTATGTTATATAATTTCAGTAAAAAGATTATAATGAAACAGTGAAAGATCACAATAAAATAGCTTTTAATTTTGTTTAAATGAGATGATGTACTCAAAGCACATTTTTAGAGAACTGGAAAAAAAATGAGGAAGAATTAATATAATGATTTTCATTATTGTAAAATGCAAACTGATGACTCTGAAGGCAATTGCTTTCATGGGTTTAATGATAATCATTTGATGCTCAGAACAAAGAGAACTTTATAAAAAAATAATGATACACATCTTAGACTCTGATTTCTCTGAGTTGAAAGGCTGTTTATGTTTGGTTCCCTTCTATTTCTCCAGGGCTTTGCATGATGACTGTCCCACAGTAAACATGTGGCAAATATTTAAATTTAACTAATTCAAATGTAAACATAAAATAAATCAAAATGACCGTGTACTATGACAATTAATCACAAGTATTCAATTGTTTTTTAAAAAATTATTTTACTACCTAGTCACTGAAATTCTGGGAAATGAAAGGCCGTATGAACTCTTGAATTGAAGTAAAACACATATTTTCAAGACTTCTTGTTAATGTCCTGGCTAGAGATATTTATTTACTAAAATTTTTTGCAATAATTTAAATTGATGTCTTACTTCTTTACACCATATTTATGTCTATAAAATTAATGACCCAGTCCTTACTAAATTTCACTGCTGTACTTTTAGCACAGAAAGAAAAACAAGTAGCTTTTAGGTCTGTATTCTTACTTTCTCTTGGTATTTTCTTTTGGTATTATATGAATTCTTTCTGGCAATATTCTTATTAAAGTGATAGAGTACATATTTGCTTGTTTTTATTTACTCTGTATTCCTCCCACACCCCATACCCATACCCATGCACGCACATGTGTATGCACACACACACACACATACACACACACACACGGATTACACTCAATTAAGTTAGAAAATTTGTTACAGTCATAGCTGTATGCTCAAATACCCCAAGAATAGAACCTAGTATGTAATACGTACTCAATAAATTATGTGATTTTGAATGAATTCTAAATACTTTAAGAAAACAAGCTGAACAATAAATTATAAACTAAATTATAAACTTAAGCATAAATATTAAAACATGTTTCTACATCTTCAAACTTACCTAAAGTTTTGGCATAATAGTTAGAATACAGATAAATGCAAATGAGAAAATATACATTAATATTTACTCTGTAGAGCTTTTCTAAACTACTATGCATCACCCTTTACAGCAGATATTTAAGAATTTAGAAGTAAACTTCAAAATTATTAATACCTAATTGTACATCAACAGCTAAAATATAGATGTACCTTCAAATAAATGGTTTGACATTTCCAGCTTCACTCATCAAGTTTTAAATATTCGATGTATATAAATGTCAAAAATTTAAAAAAATTAATATGTACATTAATACCCCAAAATACAGATAATGTCAGTATTAATGTGTGAACACAGTTTGCATGTATTTGCATCATTCCTTAACCAGTAGAGCTTTCCTCTTCTGATGTATATGGAAGAGTTGTAGATAAATTTTAGGATGACAAAGTTTTATAGAAAACCAGATATCTTCCATTAATATTTATTTTTTATTCTACTTTCTAAGCAAGAAATTTTCTCCCAAATATTTATACATCTAGTGCTGCCTCCCTTAATAACCAAAAATAAATGCTGCAGATAGCCATCATCATTGACAGCTCTCACTTCTACCTCTCTTGATTTTCTATTTTATTAACTTAAAACTTCTTGAAATAATTTTAAGAAAGAAGATACTGATAATACCTTTTAAAAGGTAAATTAAATAAATCAATTAAAATAATACTTTTTGTTATATAAAACAATTATAATTTGGCATTGTAATTCAGAGTAATGACATGCTGAGTCTGTAGACGTGGGAGGGCTAGGGAAATCAACAGAACCAGGCAGGACATGTAGGCTGACCCATCTGAAGGGCAATGGGAGGAGGCCGTGTGGAACTGTGAGCAGTGGAGAGAAGTGATTATATCTGTATTTTAGAAATATCATTATGTGGCTATAAGGTCAGGAAAGGTCCAAATCCAGACAAAAGAAAATCAGTCAAGATGGGAGATAATGATGGTTCATACTAGTATGATGAGATGGGAATGAAGTATATTTAAGAGGAATAATTGATAAAATTTTGAGATGAATGTGCTGAATTAGAGGGAGCAGTCAAGAATAACACCCAGAATTCTGAAATAAACAACTCAATCATAGTCATGGCATTTACTGGAACAGGGAACACTGGGGGATGAATAGATCTGGGGAAAAGTTCTAGAGTTCAGGCTGAGATGTCACCAAGATATTCAAGAAGAGATGTTCAATAGACAGAGGTATATGCTGACCTGGAGCTCAGGAAAGTGATTTGGGCTAAAGATATACATTTAAGTCATCAGTATATATATATATGTTAAATAACGTCATGGGAATAGTTAAGAATGCCAAGGAAATACGAACACTGAAAAGACAATGGGACTAAGTTAGGGTCTGAAGAGTGTCGATATTTAAGAAATACATTGAAGAATAATTTGCAAAGACACTAAAAAGGAGTAGCCAAAAGGGCAGGAAAATGACTTAAAGAAACAACCAAAGGAAGCACATATCTCAAGCAGAAGGGTGTCAACAAGTTTCAAAATTGATTGAGAGATTAAAAATAAACCCCAGCATAGCCTCCTTGAAACAATTATTTGAAAAAGTAGAGATAAAGAAGAGACTTCCACTGTCAACATGATTGTTGAAATCATCTCTCCTTTTCTACCTCCTGTAAATCCTATGAAAAGAAAAGGTAGATGCATATTCTCCAAAATAACTGTAAGGATTGTCAATAACTGTCAGTAACTGAGATGACACTAAAGCTGGGTGAAGGGAAGAGAGAAGCATGGAAAATAGTGAGAGGGCCTGGCACAAAGGTTCAGCAA